TGGGTAGGGGCGTTTGTTTTGATGTATTTGTTTGGGGCAGAGGTGGGAGGGTGATTGTTGGTTTTTTGTCTATATGTGTTTGTTATGGTGCTCTTCTGGTTTGGCCCCTCTGCCATGGGTCTTTTGTCAGCATATTTGTTGTAGTTATTATGAGGCTGATCTCTGGGTTTGGGGGGAATATTCCGGCCAGTGCTGTTGAGGGGAGGGGTTTGGGTTTTTGAAAAGTGCTTGCAATCTGAGTTATGTCTTGAGACTCCCTTGCAGTCCTGGCAGTAAGATGGAACATCTTCATAGGAAACATTGAGAAAGAGAGGCTGATCTCCATTTTGAACCACAATCTTATTGATTTGTGGTTCAGAAAGAAATATCAACCTCTACACAGATTCTCGCCACTGCCAAAGTTTTCTGTTGTGGCATCAAGTTTGATTGGAGTTCCAAAAATCTGTGCAATATACTGTAGGGGTTCTTTGGCATGGAAATGTATAGGGAGATCATGAATAGAAATCCAGACCGGAAGGATGGGTGATTCAACTTTAGGATCAAAGAAAGGTGTCCATTTTGAAATCATCATTTTAAAAGAACCCAGCATCCATTCTCTACGCTTGAAACATCTATGATATTCCTCCTCGTTAGAGAAGTTAAGAAGGATGTGTGCATTGTCAATGAGAGTGACAGAGAAAGCTTTGAATCCAATGCATTCCAGGTTTTGTCTAATGAACTCAAGGCTAGGTCTCCCAAAGTAGAAAGATCCAACCAAGGCCTTAGAAAATCTAGATGCAAGAAGACATACCTCTTCATTAGTGAAGGCAATATATATATATATATATATATGAGTAAATTCCATAATTAGTCCTTTATATCAGGCGAGTTTCCATATTTAATCCTCTATTATCAAATATTACCCTCGTAGTCCTTTTTTTAAAGGTACCTTTCCACAAATGGTCCTTTTTTTGATCTTATGCCGTGTTGGTGTTAATTTAAAGGCTAAAAGTATAATTTGACGTCAACATTATGTCTAGTGACGTGTTCTGATATTGGTTAAGCGGATAACACAAAAATAATGACTATGATTGTGGGCTAGGATTTGCAGACTATAGTTGTTGTAAAAAGTGACTGTAATTCACAAATGACGCAAACGGAACAACCTTTGGAATTGTGTATGACAAAAAGATATATTATCATTATGAAGATAAAAAAAAGGACTATTTGTGAAAAGGACTAAATAGGGAAACCCGACTAATTATAGAATTTAATCTATATATATATATAGTACTCCCTCCGTCCAGAAATAAAGTTTACGTTTCTCTTTTTTCTCCGTCCGAAAATAAAGTTTACATTTCTAATTTTAACCCACACTCTTCCAAAAATACCCTTCTCTACCATTCCAATCTTCTCTCTCCCTCTCGCCCTTTCCTCCTCTTCTTCTTTAGTTCCTCTTTTTTTCTTTTTCTTTCTCCCATCCGCCGACCGCCACTGTGAACTTTCAATCCTCTCTCTCCCCCTCCTTCCTCTTCTTCTTCCCCTCCTCCTCCTTCTTCTTCTTCTTCCTCTTCTTCTTCTTCTTCTTCTTCTTCTTGCTTTTCTTCTTCTTTTCTTTCTCCTGAGCAGAAACGGACGGGACCAACGCTAAATGAACCGTTTTTGCACGAGAATCACGAATATCCAGTCCTTTTTTCCAATTTTTCCTTGAACTTCACGAATTGAAGATTTTAGGCTCGGGAAAACCCTAGGATCCGAAATTGGGGTTTCTTCAAATTGGCTTCAATTTCTGCAATTGATGGTTGCTTTGTGGTTGGATGGACTGTGAGAGGTGCCTGGTGGGGTTGCGCGACGTCAGAGGTGGCGGAGGTAGTGGACGGGTCAGCTTTATGGTCGATGAGCTTCACCTCCTTGTAGATCTGCTTTCTCGTGAAGCTCTTTCCGCTGCAGTTGTCGACGGGTGCTTACGGTGGTGGTGCGGGGCTTATTGTGAGGCTGGAGTTTGGTTGCCGGGTGGGGCTCCTGGTTGCATGCCGATGTTGAGGACGCCGATGTTGAGGACGCCGGGTGGTGCTGATAGATCAGGTATTGTGGAGGCGAAAGAAAAAACAGGGAAGGGCAGAAGGGATGAGGAGGGGTATTGTAGACATTTCCATCTTAAAGTCAACACTCAATAAAAATGATTAAAAGTCAAAACGTAAACTTTATTTCCGGATGGAGGGAGTAGTAAATTAGTGGTTGAATTCTCTCTTCTTCTTCTGGGCAATGGGTAGGGTTTCGAAGCAGAAGAAGAAGAAACAGCTCTCGCTGTCCGTAGGATCGCTCATTGAGATTTGCACGAGGGAGAAAGGCCTCACCGCCGTCTGGTTCGAGGCCGTCGTCCTCGACCCGAATCCCCCGACGCCCTCGCACGCCAGATCCAGCTCCAAAAGGGCCTGCAGAGTCTACGTGGAGTACACCACCCTCCTCTCTGACGACGGCGAGAGCCCGCTGCGGGAGCTCGTCAATCTGGAGTACATCCGGCCCCGCCCTCCCACGGAGACTGTTGAGGGCTTTGAGCTCTACGACCCCGTCGACGCGTTCTATAAGGACGGCTGGTGGACCGGCGTTGTCACTCAACTTCTGGATTCTAACCGCTATGTTGTCACGTTCAGGAAACCTCCCGACGAGCTTGAATTCGGCTTGTCTGATTTGAGACTCCACCGTAGATGGGTCTACGGGAAGTGGCTTCAGCCCAAAAGGAAGAACACAACAGGATTCGGATTTAGTGTGGGGAAAGAGGTAGAAGTCACATTTGAGGGAGATGATTATAAGGATGCCTGGTATCCTTCAAAAGTCGTTGAGGTCTGTGGTAATGGCTATTTTATGGTGGACTGCATGAGGCCAAATACTGAAATCAAGGAGCAAATAAGAGCAGCTGTTCGTTCCAGTGATATCCGACCATGTCCTCCGCTCCTCAAGAATAGTAAATGTTTTTGTTTGAATGACAAAGTAGAATCATTTTATGATTCTGGCTGGTGGTTTGGAGTCATAAAAGAAGCACTTCCTGACAGTAGGTATGTTGTCTTCTTCCAAAATAAGAAGAAGACTGAGAGGGTGCTCAATCACTCCGAATTAAGACCTCACATGGTTATGAAGATGGAGAGTGGCATACTTCTCAGGGTGAATCATTATCTCCGTATTGTACCCTTGAGGATGTGGAAAATTGCAATGGTCTGGATATCACCCAAAGTGCTGTTACACATGGTAGCGAAGATGCTACTACAAATGAAACATATGGAGAGAAAATCTCCAGATCCTTGAATTCTGATGGAGAAATGAGTGAGCAGCCAATTCTTTGGTGGCCTTCAAATGTGTCAGTTTCACCAATAAAAAGGAAACGGCGTCGAGATCTATCAAAGGAATATTTTTCTAGTGAATCATTGTCTCTTATCAAATGTAAGAAACAGGCAAATGGATGTAAAACTCCAACTGAGAAAAGCTCGTGTTTCATTTCCAGCCCAAATCAATCTTCCTTGGGGAATACAGCTCGGAAGATGCCCCATAAAGTTGATGAGCAAGGATCAGTATCAGGTCCACATCGAAAGAGAGGGAGGCCAAAGAAACGTACAGCCAAGCTACCACAATCTACATCTCAAGGTAAGCTGAATAGAAAAAAAGTGAGATCATCAAAGACAGTGGTCAGAACTCCCGATGTACTAATTGAATCTCAAATATCAGGGTTTTCTCTTAATGCTGTTGAGGCTCATGGAAAGGAAAATGTGGAATCTGTACCTATGGAGAAGGCTGTTAGCGAAGGTCCCATACCTATGGAGAAGGCTGTTGGCGAAGGTCCCATACCTATGGAGAAGGCTGTTGGTGAAGGTTCCGTACCTATGGAGAAGGCTGTTAGCGAAGGTCCCATACCTGTGGAGAAGGCTGTTGGCGAAGGTCCCATACCTATGGAGAAGGCTGTTGGCGAAGGTCCCATACCTATGGAGAAGGCTGTTGGCGAAGGTCCCATACCTATGGAGAAGGCTGTTAGCGAAGGTCCCATACCTATGGAGAAGGCTGTTGGCGAAGGTCCCATACCTATGGAGAAGGCTGTTAGTGAAGGTTCCGTACCTATGGAGAAGGCTGTTAGCGAAGGTCCCATACCTATGGAGAAGGCTGTTGGCGAAGGTACCATACCTGTGGAGAAGGTTGTTTGTGAAGGTCACAGCAATGGTTCTGAGGATGATCAGCCTCTCTCCACCTGGGTTGGAAAAGTGCCCACTCGAACTCCTGTTGATGGATCAAGACTTGCACAACCCCACCAGAGCTTGCCTTTTGTGAAGAAAGACGCACTCATGTGGGACATATTAAAATCCAGAGAAGCCTTCCAGAAGATTCCCCAGAACCCTCATTTTCAGCCGCTCCAACACAGTGAAGATTTTCGCCGCGAAACTCTGGCTATCTTCTACATGTGCACTTTTGCTGTTCTAGTAGACAAGGCCTGCAACTTGAAGCTTGACGAACCCAGAAACACCATTGACACAATGTTTGACACACTAGCTGAGCTGGAGACCCATGGGTTCAGTGTTGACCCAATCCGCAGCCGCTTGAAGGAGATCCTGTCATACAGAGAAGAACATGAAAACCTGCAAGTCTCTTCTGCTGGGGCCCACACTGAAATGGAGAAGCAGAGCGCGCTCAAAGCGGACCTGATGAAGCAGAAAGCTGAGCTGGAGAAATCCCTTTCCCAGGTGGTGTCCAAGTTGGAGTCAAAGGAACAGGACATAGCTTCTCTGCAGTCCAGTGTGGATGAGATGAACGAGAGGCTCGGACATTTGAGCAGGGATTATGAAGCTTTGATTTGCAAACCATTTGAACTGCCCGTACAAAACGTGTAGGCCTAGGGGTGGGGTGGTGGGGGGGGGACCCTAGGGCTATCAATGGGTCGATCCCCTGTTTTTGTATGTTAATTATGTAGAAAACTGCTGTTATGGCTTAGCTCTAATGACCACTTCCTAGTTTTGAGACCAAAACCCCTCTAGTTTCATGTTGCATTGATAGTGTTATCATTTGGGGCCCTTTGTTTGTACTTGTAAAATTATAGCTCTTAGTTCTGGACCGGTTCTATATTAAAATACTCCATGTGTGTGTGTATATATATATATATATATATATATATATATATATATATATCTTTCTTATTATATAAATGGGATTGAGGGTTAGGTACCCTTTAAAAAGATGCACTTTTTCCATCCATATATTTTGTACACCATGCTTAGAAAGTTGTACCCTTACTTATTTAGCCAAAAATATCCTCACTTTTTAAACTTCCGTCAAATTTAGAAGCGAACTAGGCAGATTTCGTTTTCTACTAAAACATGCTGCTGACTCACGGAATAGAGGGGGAATTTAATGCCCAATTTACTGTTTCTTTAATCGTGAAATAACGCTCTATTTAGATTTACAGAAGAAATCTCAAATCCCTACTTCTAGAATCGTGAAACTAGGCCAATTGAAGGGTTTTGTCCCCAATTTCTTGCAGGGGTCTCTGAAGCAGTGCTCTGGTAATAAGTACTCAATTTACTAGCGATAAGCATAGTAGACTTTATGTGGATGAATTGAAAAAGGATGGATTATGCGGATGAATTTTATATGTATCTCTCTAATTGCAATAATTTTGTATGTAGTTTGGATTGGGAGTTGCTAGCTTGGATTTCATATGATTCACTTTTAATCTTAGTTTTTTGGTTTTGTTAATTCTCATTTCGTAGGGAAATCATAAGAAAGTTTGAGTTTAGAGTTTCTTTTATTGACAATTCTTTTACAGGTTTCAGTTAAGGATTCTTATATTTAATATGATTCACTCTTAATATCATTGTTTCCCCAAGATTATTACTTAAATTACCATTTTCTAATATTCTTGTCTAATATTGATCCTGGGATTTTAGTATTTTTTATTGTTAGATGAGTCTAAGCTATATCAAGAGCCAATATAATGTTGTTTTTTTGTCCTTGAATTGCTATAATTTAGGATTCTCACATTGGTCCGATTTACCTGACTTTGAAGGTATTCTTTTAATCTTTGGTAGTGATTAAGGTGTTGGAAGCAAACATGCTAGATCTTCCATTCGAGGATCAATGTTTTGATGTAATAGTAGATAAAGGAACAATAGTTAGACTTCATTTTTTTCCCGACCTATTTATCTATTTCAGATTCTTTTTCATTCAACCATTGGACTCTTGAAGTAGATAACAATATTTTTTTAAAAATATAAAGGTCGATAAATTTGGAGTTTCTATTTGAAATGGGTATTTAAGTGATCAAAAGTTTATTTGAAAGAAAAATGAAAAAATAATCAAGTCCAAGAATACAGAAAATCATACATTTTCAACCTATTAGGCATAGATTATCGCCCCCACTGGGGTTCGAACCTATGACCTCCCATATTGGGGAGCCACCATGATGCTGCTTGCCACAAGGTCTTCGGCATAAGCTTAAAATATTAATTTTATTACAGATCGCATACTGGAAATTGTTCTTAGGCCAACTAGATACACACCCTAACCCATTTTTGAGCTGCTGGTTTTAATTTTGAGAGTAAGTTCAGATTTAGGCTACTTATGCCTTCATTACTTAACACCACTTTTGTTTATCTATCCTTTCCACTATCATATCATTTATTATGATCCAATTCAAGTTCATTATATTCATTATTGATTAGTGGATATACTACATATCTTTTACCCAAATATTGGTTTATATCTTATTGGTAGTTGTTAAATAATGATTTTGTTCTTAGGGTTTTTTAATCATAGGTTTGATGGTTTAGTTTTGGGGGGTTTGCATTGGTTGCAGTGTTTGTTGGCAGCTGCAATAGTTGACTGTCTGCTTCTTTCACAACTTCAGCTGTCTTTGAAGGCGTTTTTAGTGTGTCTTCAATCTTGAAATTACGCTCTATTCAGATTTGCAGAAGTATTCTCAAATTCTTTCCCCGGTAAAGGTGCTCTATTTCTGTCAGTATTATTTTTACTCTATGTTGTGTTAGTTGTAACATTCTTTTCACTTTGCTCCTTTGTTCTCATACGTGTTAATAATCATGTTTGTGATTATGCCCTAGCTTCCTCTTTCCTTTTGAACTTTTCGCTGCTTTAAAAATCCCATCTGTGACTGGAACGATCTATCATTGAAGTATTTCACTTTCGATATGGGAAGTAGTATTCAAATTTTTATCAAGTTTTGAGAAACTTGCTTATTTTCTTCTTAATACTATAATTGAGTCTTATGTTCAGTTCTACCTTGATGTCATGGAAATGGTAAAATCTTTTGGCTCTCTTTTTTATTATAAAATGTATAAGCCCTGCATTTTTTTCTATGTCCTTTTCTTATAACTCCATTTTATATGTTTTATTTAAAGGTTTTGGTCATAGCACTTTTAGTAAAGATAATTATGAAAAGACGCTTTTCCATACTTCATGTGAATCGTGAAAGTTTTGACTTGTTGTTCGTATGTTGTGTGACATTAGATCATTTATTATGTACTTGTCCTTCTAAAAAACATTCACATGTTAGCTCCCTCTGTCCATAATTCGGTTTTTTACCACAGTCGGAAGGTCTTACGCTTTTCCTTATAGGTATTAGCCTGACACAAATGTGGTTTATGCCAGAAGCATCTGTGTCTATTGGGCTTCATGTAGCAGCAGAAGCCTATCTATACTGATATATTTAAGCTTGGGTTTGGAAAGGGAGGGGAGTGGACTGGTCGAGTATATGGAGGAGGATGAAGGGTTGATTTTTAAGATGGCTTAAAGGCATAAGAATAGGGGAGAAAAAGGGGGATACTGGTTGTGCTTTTTAGGAGGGCCGAAAATTTGGAAGGGAAAATAAGAGGGGAAAAGGGATAAAAACCAAGTAGGTTTTAAGAGATATAACACACTCTTATCCTCACTTGGGGTTTGAGTCTAGAATTTANGTACCTATGGAGAAGGCTGTTAGCGAAGGTCCCATACCTATGGAGAAGGCTGTTGGCGAAGGTCCCATACCTATGGAGAAGGCTGTTAGTGAAGGTTCCGTACCTATGGAGAAGGCTGTTAGCGAAGGTCCCATACCTGTGGAGAAGGTTGTTTGTGAAGGTCACAGCAATGGTTCTGAGGATGATCAGCCTCTCTCCACCTGGGTTGGAAAAGTGCCAACTCGAACTCCTGTTGATGGATCAAGACTTGCACAACCCCACCAGAGCTTGCCTTTTGTGAAGAAAGACGCACTCGTGTGGGACAGATTAGAATCCAGAGAAGCCTTCCAGAAGATTCCCCAGAACCCTCATTTTCAGCCGCTCCAACACAGTGAAGATTTTCGCCGCGAAACTCTGGCTATCTTCTACATGTGCACTTTTGCTGATCTAGTAGACAAGGCCTGCAACTTGAAGCTTGACGAACCCAGAAACACCATTGACACAATGTTTGACACACTAGCTGAGCTGGAGACCCATGGGTTCAGTGTTGACCCGATCCGCAGCCGCTTGAAGGAGATCCTGTCATACAGAGAAGAACATGAAAACCTGCATGTCTCTTCTGCTGGGGCCCACACTGAAATGGAGATGCAGAGCGCGCTCAAAGCGGACCTGATGAAGCAAAAAGCTGAGCTGGAGAAATCCCTCTCCCAGGTGGTGTCCAAGTTGGAGTCAAAGGAACAGGACATAGCTTCTCTGCAGTCCAGTGTGGATGAGATGAACGAGAGGCTCGGACATTTGAGCAGGGATTATGAAGCTTTGATTTGCAAACCATTTGAACTGCCCGTACAAAACGTGTAGGCCTAGGGGTGGGGTGGTGGGGGGGACCCTAGGGCTATCAATGGGTCGATCCCCTGTTTTTGTATGTTAATTATGTAGAAAACTGCTGTTATGGCTTAGCTCTAATGACCACTTCCTAGTTTTGAGACCAAAACCCCTCTAGTTTCATGTTGCATTGATAGTGGTTATCATTTGAACTTTTCGCTGCTTTAAAAATCCCATCTGTGACTGGAACGATCTATCATTGAAGTATTTCACTTTCGATATGGGAAGTAGTATTCAAATTTTTATCAAGTTTTGAGAAACTTGCTTATTTTCTTCTTAATACTATAATTGAGTCTTATGTTCAGTTCTACCTTGATGTCATGGAAATGGTAAAATCTTTTGGCTCTCTTTTTTATTATAAAATGTATAAGCCCTGCATTTTTTTCTATGTCCTTTTCTTAGAACTCCATTTTATATGTTTTATTTAAAGGTTTTGGTCATAGCACTTTTAGTAAAGATAATTATGAAAAGACGCTTTTCCATACTTCATGTGAATCGTGAAAGTTTTGACTTGTTGTTCGTATGTTGTGTGACATTAGATCATTTATTATGTACTTGTCCTTCTAAAAAACATTCACATGTTAGCTCCCTCTGTCCATAATCCGGTTTTTTACCATAGTCGGAAGGTCATACGCTTTTCCTTATAGGTATTAGCCTGACACAAATGTGGTTTATGCTAGAAGCATCTATGTCTATTGGGCTTCATGTAGCAGCAGAAGCCTATCTATACACACTGGTTTTTATAAGTAACTGTACACCATTTGAATCCTATATAATATATAAATGAGAGGGAGGGTTTTATTCCCCTGCCAATGTGATTTTTTTTGTTACTAAACATTGTAATCTGCCGTGGGATGATTGCATGGTTTGATGTTCTGACTATATTACACTTACACCGTTCAAAATCCAGTCTCATTTATTTATTGACATATTGACTCTTAACCAGTAATAGGGTTGGCACATAGGGAAATTGACGACTCTTGGAGTGGGTGAAATTGGCCCTTGGGTTGCTCTCTTCCACAATGTTTACAACACTGATGAAGCCATCTTCAATTTTCAGGTTACTTTGTACATGTATTTGTATAACTAGGAATGATTTCCTATCAAATTTTAGGAGAATTGATGTTTTGTAGCCCATTTCTTTGGACAACCTTTATTACAAAAGGCAAAAGCATGTTTCAAACATTTAATCTTTAACCCTTTAGTTAACTATGAGATATGTCATATTCTATGAGGTGTGGATGCATTTTGATTGATGTTTTGGTGATGCCAAAATGGCTTCCAATTGTTAAGTTTTCAGCTTATAAATTTGGAAACACTATGAGTGTTGAATGCATAGTAAATTGTGATTGATATATTTAGAAGGTGGTATTGTCCAGATTATGTTGAGAGTACTTCTATTTTGTCAAGTTTGATTTTTTAAATTTAAAAACACTATTTGAGAGCTATCATTGCTTAGGACTTTTAGGAGATGAATTTGGTAAGTTTGTATGCTTTGCTTCCGCTCTGGTTTAGAATTTGAGTGTAGATCATATATCGTAATATGTTGTGTGTGCATGAGAGTTTAATCTAGATCATATATCTCAACATGGATAAGCCTTTAGACTCTTTTTTCTGTGATAAGTGGATTTGCAAAATAAATTTTTTTAGAGGGCGTGAAGTAAGCTCTGAAAGGCAATCAAATAATAATCTAAACTTTTATTTGGCCAGTGATAAATCTAAATGGAAATGTTGAGATTGATGTGTCCCTTTATTTGGTTACATTCTCTAATTAGGAATTTGTTAATGAAATATTGTATATGTGTAGGTTGTATTACCATATATTTGTAAACGACTATATACCATGTTTTGTAATTTTCATTTTACTTCCAGTTGCAGTGAAAATTTTTCCGATGGAGCCAAAATTTTCACCTGTTTTTGGCTTTGGGGTGTGATGGAATAAATCAAAATGGATATCTAAACTATTTGCGCTTCTTTAATTAATGAAGTAGCAGTTAGTCAAGCAATGCAACTTTCGACGTTGAGCCAGGGGTCTCTTTGGAAACAGCCTCTCTACTTTCGAGTAGGGGCAAGGTCTGCGTACACACACCCTCCCCAGACCCTACTCTTGTGGGATTTAATTGGGTTGTTGTTTCCAGTTGCAGTGAAAGACTGGAATATAGTCTCGATAAACTATGCATGAAGTTTTTTTAGTGCTCTGGTTTGACATGTTTTTATGATCATGCATATTTTATATTGAGTTCTTTAGTTTACAAATGGAAGGACCGACGGGTTCCCTGTGATTAGAAGAAATATGAAAGCATGGCTGGAGAATGGAACCACATATCTAATAAAAGGAATGGAGACCAAAATGCCAGAGGTGAAACTTATCTGTCTAGCCAATTTGCTTAAAGCTTTTGATTTGCATTCAAATAATTAGTATATTTTTTAATCTAGAAAATCTTAAATAGTGTGCAAGTATTAAGAACAATGAAGACTATAGATTTATGCCATTTCTGCTCATATTTTTATACTCCCTCTGTCCCAAAAAGAAGGTTACGTTTCATTTTTTGCGCATTCCTTAAAACACTTTTATATCGTCTCAAATGCCAAAAGAACTTTCAAAACATTTTCTACCTATAATAAAGAGTAAATATGGTAAATTTTAGAGTTTTTAGATGTGAGTAGCAGTGCTTTTTGTGATGCGCAAAAAATGAAATGTAACCTTCTTTTTGGGACGGAGGGAGTATTATTTTTTGGTTTGTGGTCCAGTAGTCTTTTATGATTTTTTTTTCTGTTTTACCTCTCTTCTTTTTATTACTTCATTTATTTTACCTCTCTTATTTTTATTATTTATTTGACATGTTTTTATGCTGATGCATATTTTATATTGAGTTCTTTAGACGATAAATGGAATGACTGACAGGTTCCTGTGACTAGAAGAAATATGAAAGTAATGCTAGAGAATGGAACCACACATCTGATAAATGGAATGGAGACCAAAATGACAGAGGTGAAACTTATCTGTCTAGCCAAGTTTGCTTAACGCTTTTGAATTGCATTGAAATAATTAATATATTTTTAATCTAGAAAATCTTAAGTAGTGTGCAAGTATTCATAACAATGAAGACTATAGATTTATGCCATTTCTGCTCACATTTTTATATTATTTTTTGGTTGGTAGTCTGGTAGTCTTTTGTGATTTTTTTCTATTTTACCCCTCTTCTTTTTTGATCTCTTAAGAGTAATTATTTTTATTACTTTAATGATCTTACCTCTCTTATTTTTATTATTTTTTGACATGTTCTATGTTGATGCATATTTTATGTTGAGTTCTTTAAATGACAAATAGAAGGACTGGTCCTTGTGATAAGAAGAAATATGAAAGTATGGCTGGAGAATGGAACCACAAATCTGATAAATGAAATGGAGACCAAAATGAGAAAGGTGAAACTTATCTGTTTATTCAAATTTGCTTAAAGCTTTTGAATGGCATTCAAATAATTGGTATATTTTTTAATCTAGAAAATCTTAAATAGTGTGCGACTCTTCAGAACCTGGGTGAAATTCCCCATGAATCTTGGAGAGTGGGCCTGGGTGAAATTCCCCGTGAACCTGTCATATCTTTATTATTTTATATTTCGTTGTCTATCATTGAGGTATATATGTGAGATTGGATGTTTAAAATCACATGTCATGTTTTATATTACTTCCTTATGTTTTAGATTTGGTATGGAGGGTCTACTGAGCTGGACAAAACATATATGAGTTTTAGATTGAAAAGATATTCTTTGTTGAGGATAGGCGTTTACTCTACAAGATTTCCAGCTCGGTTTCGGCAATGGCCTTTGGGTGCTGGTTTAAACATTTGTTGAGGCCCTAGAGTTTAAGTTCTGCAGATGAGCTTCAGTTAGGCTTTTGGATATGGCAACTTATTTCTTTAAAAATTCTTTTGGGTTTGACTTTTAGGTGTTGGTTTGAACAATAGAATTTTCTGACATTGGCTTTTGACGTAGAGGGTTGGGTGGCCCTGGATTTTGAGATGTCAATACTAGAGCATTGTTTATGGTGAGGCAATGCGATGGAATTTGGTTGATTTCCAGATTCCCCAAAATTAACCAACTCACTGATTTCCATTTATTTTAATATAAATGAGCTTCGACGTTTTGCGAGATTTCAGGCTCGTGAGTGATACATCTCTGTCTTCCCTTTCAATTTGGCAGTGCAATAACTTGTAATATACTCCCAATTATTGATAATTTGAATGTAGGTTACATTTTTAAAAACTGATTGTGGGAGATGGGATGAGTGCTATTTATAATCGATTTTGGGATATGGGATGAATCACCCTCGTTTACTCTGCTTCTAGGTTTGTCGATTGCTTCAGTTCTGACCTCCCTCTTATTTTTCAATAATTGCTTTTGATTATTGTTTCTTTTTCCCAGATCTGGTTGTTCTTCATATTTTACCCTTTTGTTTTCATTCTTGGAACTGTGTAATGTAACTTTTAAAATTTTCAGGTTCCCTGCCATTTCCTCTAATTTTGAACATCATTGTTAAGGTAAGTATAATTCCTTACCTATCAATTGAATGTTGTAAATTCACTATCCCAAAATGAATTCATTGATTACTAAATATGAAATTCTATATTTCACACCCTAATGTGTTTAGCCTCTTATTTAGCTTTGGATTACTGTAATCAGCATTCACCTAAAATTGGAGTGAGCTTCGGTACTCATTAGGTGCAGAGTTTTGATGCAGTGATATAGTGTTATAAAAACAACCTTTACCTTCAAGGAAACGGGAGAATCTGTGAAGTGGGAATGTATTTTATAAAACCTTTTTGAAATATTAGTATTTTTCAATAACATCGTACATCATCTCGCAAGTTATATTGCTCTGCATCCAAACACAACATGTTTTTGAGGAAGAGAATTTGAATACAAAGTTGAAGATAAACTTTTTGAACAAACTTTTAAAGTAAAGTAAAACACTTGACTCATTATTGTTTGATAACTAAGATGAGCAAGAGGAACAAATCATTGTATGTACCTCAGCCCTGTGAATGCACAAGAATCTAGCAGGTCTATTTAAACATGTAACCAACTCTCACCTCCCTATAAATACATACACTCACAAGTTATATTTTGCTTATCTACATACCACCAAAGCTTTATACAATGATGATACCAACAAAG